GGTAACCCTTCACGGGCCCCGTAAGTCAGTTTTTCACAGATAAAAATATATCATAAAAAGACTCCGGAGCTGAAGACAGCAGACTTTAGTCTCGGCTGAGTTTGAGGCAGCTTTAGGGGCAAAACAACAACTGGAGGGATTAAGGTGATGGAAATGAGACCACAGAGAGGTGAGTGTGACAGGAGCCTGTTCCACCTGAAGTGAACAGTGGACCACACCATGTGATCTGAACCAGACAGAAAAGGAGGAGAAAAGGCAAAGTGAGAGTCATTTTACCTACAAACCCTGAACTTCCTCCTTTATGTTTCTGTGTCAAACTTCGATATTTGTGTTGCTCTAAAACAGAGAAAAAGTCTTTGGGAATTACATTGATTTAGGTTGTAGTTACAGCCTGTGGCCACAAGGGGGAGCCAGTCAGTCTGGAAGGGTCAATGGCCTTATGTGTATTACTATCATATATATGATGTTATTATTCAGATATATCATGTTATTATTCAGATATATTATTCATATATATGATGTTATTATTCAGATATATCATGTTATTCTTCATATATATTATGTTATTATTCAGATATATGATGTTATTATTCAGATATATTATTCATATATATGATGTTATTATTCAGTTATATTATTCATATATATTATGTTATTATTCATATATAAATGGGTTATGGAGCTCATTTCTGTGTTTTCATGTGGTCTAATGAGTTTAAAGCGCTGGTTGTGTTTCAGCTTGTTGTGTTTCTGCTGGTTGTGTTTTTGTCTTTTAACAAAATATGTAAAAAGAAAAAACTGAAATACATTTTTGATATTAATAATTTATTACTATGCGTTAAGTCAGGATTATTTTTTGTGTATCTTCTGCCCCCTGTTATCAGGTGTATCTGATTGTGTACAATAGGATTTTGAGCAAAGTTTTTACCATTAAATTATGCAAAAGGAGTCAGACGCAAAACATTTCAGAAACCGGATCAAATATGATACATTTGGCATTACAGGGTTAAAGTCGCAAACGTCCTCAAATCCTGAAGCAGCTTTTTTATTTTTGTCTTTCTCTCCAAAGACCAGAGTCCCTGTTCAGGTCCAGGAGGAACTCGGATCCAGACAGGCTTCACAGATGTTACTGGACAGGCTTTATTACACATCAGTGGTAAAAAAGGACTTCTGTAGTAAAACACTCTGTAAAAAAATGATAGCCCTCCTTTAAAAACACACACATCTTACCGGTGCAAAAGCTTCCAGAGTTTCAGCATCGTCACTATCACATTGTTGTGTAACGGTAATTAAAGTCCCCGCCACTTCCTGTCACCACAACAGGTGACAGGAACCAAAAAAAATACTATATTGTATTTTAACTGATTTAACATGGAAAATATTACAAACAGGTTTTAAGAATGTTCACCAACATAAAAGATTAGAAATAAAATAGTTTGTAATATGTTGACACAGTCTGGTCTGCCTCCTTTAATGCATTTCACGTTGGGGCTAGAGTTTCCCTCACAGCTCCAGGTCAAAATGTTGGTCCGCTTTGGGACCGAACTATTTGTTACATCTCTTGGCACGTTTTAGCGCTTTTACAGCATTTTCCTCTTGTTCTCCGAGTAAAATACAGGACTTGGTCCACAGTTTGTTAAAGCTATTCCATTTCACTCTCATTCTTTAGCACATTATACATAAACATCCATTCCCAGAATCAGCAAACATTTTTCTATTCTTCATACACACACATATATAAATAAAAACTTTAGGTTTAAATGCTCTACGTAAACCGTCCATTCTCACACACTAGCTCCAAATCTTAAAGTGCCTGATGATAAAGCTGTCAGCAGACCCCTCTGATCTGGGTTTCCTGATGAAGCAGCTACCTAACAGCATCAAACTGCAGAAGTCAGTCAGACCGAGCCCTTCTCAGGTCCAGAAGAACCGGTTCCGTTTCCCACCTGGAGGAAGACAAGCAGCCAGTGTCAGCAACATGGAGCCTTTTCCTGCTCATCAACAGAGCTGTTGGTGGGGTTAGAGCTAGCAGAGCTAACAGCTAACAGAGCTAACAGCTAATAGAGCTAGCAGAGCTAACAGATGCTGTTGGTGGGGTTAGAGCTAGCAGAGCTAGCAGCTAACAGAGCTAACAGCTAATAGAGCTAGCAGCTAACAGAGCTAACAGAGCTAACAGCTAATAGAGCTAGCAGAGCTGTTGGTGGGGTTAGAGCTAGCAGAGCTAACAGAGCTAACAGAGCTAACAGAGCTAACAGAGCTAACAGAGCTAACAGAGCTGTTGGTGGGGTTAGAGCTAGCAGAGCTGTTGGTGGGGTTAGAGCTAACAGAGCTAACAGCTAACAGAGCTAACAGCTAATAGAGTTAGCAGAGCTAACAGCTAACAGAGCTGTTGGTGGGGTTAGAGCTAACAGAGCTAACAGCTAACAGAGCTAGCAGAGCTAACAGAGCTGTTGGTGGGGTTAAAGCTAGCAGAGCTAGCAGCTAACAGAGCTAACAGCTAACAGAGCTAGCAGAGCTGTTGGTGGGGTTAGAGCTAACAGAGCTAACACCTAACAGCTAATAGAGCTAACAGAGCTGTTGGTGGGGTTAAAGCTAACAAAGCTAACAGCTAACAGAGCTAACAGAACTGTTATTGGTTTTAGAGCTAACAGAGCTAACAGAGCTGTTATTGGTGTTAGAGCTAGCAGAGCTAACAGAGCTAGCTGTTGGTGGGGTTAGAGCTAGCAGAGCTAGCAGAGCTGTTGGTGGGGTTAGAGCTAACAGAGCTAGCTGTTGGTGGGGTTAGAGCTAACAGAGCTAGCTGTTGGTGGTGTTAGAGCTAACAGAGCTAGCAGAGCTAGCAGAGCTGTTGGTGGGGTTAGAGCTAACAGAGCTAGCTGTTGGTGGTGTTA